AAACTGGGTAAATCTGACTTTTTTCACTAAACTATCAGTTTAAAGTTAGGATTGGGTTTGGTAGAGGACAGCATTTACACACACACACACACTCACTGTCTCTCTCTCTCTCTCTCTCTCTCTCTCTCTCTCTTCTGCATGGAGTCTCCGAGAAACCCCAGTGGCAGGATGTGTTCAGAGTGATCAAATCACAGCAGATCCGTTCTCATCTCTGACCCTGTCGCCTACAGCACAGAGCCACACACACACACACATACACACACTGCACTCTTTTCACCTCTCTCTCTCATCACTCTCTCTGTTTCTGCCTCTCTCTACCTGTCCTCAACACGGACACAAACAGCATCTCACCATATGTTCTAGTTGCAGAACAGGGTGGAGAGTCCTGCACAGAATTAGTGCATAGGTTAGAGGGGATGTATATTATTACTGCTGAAATGTGCACAGTAAAAATATATGACACTTTAAAAATGGACATGTTATAATAAGTAATTCAACTGGCTTTAATTCAGTTCCTTAAAATGTAGCAAAGCAAAATAACAGCTCAGAACAATGCAACATGTTTGTTCATCCAAATCTCACTTAAACTTCAAATCAGACTCTGCCCCCACCCCCACTCCCCATTGTTCCAGTGTAGGGCTGTACATTAGCACATTTATACTGACCACTCGTTAATGTGCTTTATTACTGGAGAGGTGTATAGATGTACATTATTACATTAGCACTGTCCAGATCATTGCTTTGTGTATGTCTTTCTCATTTAGCACCACTACATGTAATGATGTAGGCAACACGTGATGTGCAAATAAGTCACAATCAGTGGGAGGTCTCAGAACAAACAGTGTGCTGATTTTGAGTTCTGTTTAGAAGTCGGCACACACATCGCACCATGTGGACTCGAACCACCACGTCCTTTTGGCCAAAAAGACATTTTGCATTAAATCGTTGGTTTGTTTGAAGTATGCTGCCAGCTTTAGTGGAAAGTGATCTGGAACCTTAATGCTGTAGTAATTCTTGGCAGTGGTGTATGTGTGTGTATGTGTGTGTATTCATCTTTTTATTGGGTCTAACAACGCTCACAAATTGATAAATCCACCTCAGGGAGATATGAATTTTTATTTTCACAAGTAACACATTTTTTTCCAAAAAACTATAGCTTTTATTAGAAAAAAGTAAAATAGTTGCTGGTTGAGATTAAGGAAGGTATGCTATGTGGAGTACAACAGACAATACACACACACACATACACACATGCATACATATTTGCACATATATGCACACACACTCCCCCACCATACACATGCATTTGTGTGTGTGCACACAAATATGTACACACATATATGCACACAACAGGGAAACATAGCACAAACCAATACACACTGGATTTGCATTACAGAGTTGAATATTGATATATTGCTATGGGTGACAGGAAGAATGAGAGAGAGAGAGTGAGAGAGAGAGGGAGGTTGCTATGTGGGTCATATACTCACATGACACACAGGCAGTGTTTGGACTGCAGGAATGCTGGAGTGGGGGGGGCAGTAGGTGCCCGTGTCAACTGGCATCACTATAACCTGTCACTTCACTGAAGGATCAGACAGTGGAGAGAGAGAGAAAGAGAGAGAGAGAGAGAGAGAGTATCAGAGTTGAAAGAGAAGGAATCGCCCAAATGCACAGGCCACTAGAAAAGGGCTAAGCTGAGGAAAATGCGCCTGTCACACCACGGCTCATCTACCACTTTGACACTGGCCTGTGTGTGTCGTCGGTGGCCTGTGTGTGTGGCAGTGTTAAATTTGAATTTTGTGGGCCAACAGTGTTCAGTCAACAAAGACAAAACGTCATAAACAACTTTGATTTTGGAAACAAATTCTATAATATCCACATTGATTCTGACAGACTGTAATACACTATGTCTAGGGGCCATATTGGCTTCTGTTATTTTGCAGGAAGATAAAAAATATGACCAGGCGAAATATTGTGACAGCAGTGCTTTGAAAGAAAAGGCACAGGATATGATAGAAGGTATAATGGTCAGATTAGTCAGTTAATGTAATGACAGTTTATAGATTCCAAGTTATACAGAGTGTGCCTGAGTGCCGGTCTGGACAGTTCCTGTCCAGTTTAACCCCTGTCTGTTAGCCCACTCAGGCCTTCCGCTGTGCTAAACTGCAGTAGAAGCATGCTATGTAAATAACACATGGCTGCCTTTTGGAAAGAGCTATTTGGCATGAATCTCCCACTGTTTCATCCCATCTGTGATAAAGGAGTGAAATTTACTTTTTGGCTTTTGCAATTGTTCGCTCTGTCTTGTTCTCCCCCCCTCTCCCCCTTACTAGGGTTAAGATTCGGGTTAGTAAATTGAATTGACTGATCAGGGATTTGGATGAAGGCATCACCCTCATAGACTGAATGGAACCATGTGATCTTTCTTTTTAATTTGAGTCATTAAATCATAAACAAATCCTAAAACAACCAGCTAAGCTGTTTAGCAACGAGGCTAGAGCATGTTAATGTGTGTGTGGTATGCAAGTGGTGTGTGTATCATCCCTTGCAACCTCGGTGTGGTCTGCTCACTGTCAATGTGCTTATGGGAGCAGTTTTATAAATACTGATTATGCAGTACTGATGCAACACGTTTCACACGATCTGAGTCAAGCTGGCAGTATACGTCAACTTACAAAAGAACTAAACAAAATCAAACTACTGCTGAACACACTGTCTGTATGCTTAAAAAGAACTTTCCTCTCAGCTTCACTAGAAGCCTGCTTTGTGCAGTGGAGTAATCACAGTCAGGGGGAGGTCTCAGAACAAACTACAGGGTGATTAGGAGTTCTGTTCAGCAAGCAGTATACACTGCACTGAACAAACTCAGCCACCATGTCGGTTTGGCCAAACGTCGTTGTTGTGCAGTCACAATATGCAAAATATTTAAATGTACAGAGATATACAGAGATGTTTTGGTTAATGGTGTCTGTTGCTTCTACTGCTATGAATCGACTTACTAGATTAAGCAAAATCAATGTATTAAAAGGATAAACAGAGATTAAGACAAAGTGAATTCTGCTTGATGTGAAGGAAAGTGCAGGTTAGTTTTGAAAAACGTGTGCAGTACTCGGAAAAATTATGGGGATGTAAAATGGTTAAAATAATGAATCACGTTAATCACATTATTTTGTGTAGTTAATTACAATTAATTGCATTTATGTTGTACCACTTTGACGGCATTAGAAATTGCTTATTTGATTTCTGACATACTGTTACCCATAAAAAAAAGAAGACTGCTTTGATAGTTATTACTACTGTTTTTAGCTATGCTGTCCAAACTTTTTAGCGGTCAAAGACAGTTTCTCGAACTTGAATAACAAATAAAGCTATGTGCTTTCCTTTAATTAGTACATTAAATTAAATGGTGGTTTGTATTTTTGTGATTTATTTGTGTCAGTTGGGTTTACATGAATAGCATGTTACATCAGTGCAATTCTTGCCTAGCAAAGAAACTGAAAGACAGTAATTGTATTGTTATATTATTGTTACGTGCAACAGACTGACAAATGTAAATCATGCAAATTCAAAGCATCGTTTTTTTTCTTTTTTTCATTTAATCTGGAGAAAAGCAGAGGAAGGAAGCATGAATTTAAAGCTTGTATTAAAAACTCAGAAATAAGTTGGCATTATGCATTGCAGGTTCCTAGCAAAGTCATTAGCAGTAGACATGCGGTAATCGGAACTGAAAGACAGAATTGCTCTTCAGTAATGAAGGATCTACTGCTGTTCATGATTTTCACTGCTAGGAATGCTGCTGCAGCCTCATATGAGGCATCCTACATAAACCCAAGGGCACATTTAGAGCAATTACAGCACCAGAGTGCTCAAACCTGGCCCTCTAATCATTCCAATTGTACGTTTATATATGTAGGCGAGCGTGTGTGTGTGTGTTACCACGGTAGTTTCATTCATCAGGCCCTGAAGCAGGCAGCAGTCAGACAGCTGGTGAACAGTTAAACCCATCATCACCCTGCCGTAATGTCTCCCAGATGTTGCCCCATGAAAAAAAGCACATCTATACAAACGCATTTACTTAGCCGTCGCGATTAATTACCAAGAACAGCATACAACTCCTCCCAGTGATTCCCTTTCTTTCATGCCATTGGCTATTCCCGCTCTAAATCTTTGTCTCCACATACTGACCACCCAATTAGGACCTGCAGAATAGGGGATGGCATTACAGTTCTTTTCAATAAAGATTCAAAATGAGTTATTCACTGAAATTGTTCACAGATTTGTTTAATGGTGAAACAGCACTTGGATCTAAACAGTTCTAAACACTTCAGCAAGCTACAGTTTGAAATTGGAGCCACATAAGTGTTTAAGCTACATTTTAAAAATATATCCTAAAACACTTCTTCAAATGTTCACATTCATTTTGTAGTGTTGAGTCAAAAGTGGTTCATTATGTTGAAACCAGATTTTTGGTCAAATACCAATTATTGTTTTCTCATCAAATAAAGCCTGAACTATCAATATTATTATTAAATTTAAAGAATAGTTAGACTTGAAGCTTATAAACACAGGATGTTTGCTGCCTTTGAAAGAAAGCTGTGTTTAGCTAGTTTATCTCAAAAGCTAGTAAAGTGGAAATTACGTTGTTCTCTCTCTGTCACACTTGTCTTGCCTTTATTGTACCATTGGCTAATCGTTCTTTGGTATACCACTCGCTAAACTTCCTTAAGCATACCATTGGCTAGCCTTGCTTTTGCACACTTTTGGCTAATTGTTCTTTTAATATACCTTTAGCTATTCTTCCATTAACATACCATCTGCTAACCTTTCTTTAGCATATCATTGGCCAATCTTCCTTTAAGTATGCCATTGACTAATCTTCTTTTTTCATACCTGATGAATTTTCCTTCATCGTACCATTGTGCTAACATTGCTACAATTGGATGATCTTCCTTTAGCATACCATTGACTAACTTTACTGTCTGTTTGTGTTTCAACAGAGCAAGTGCCCTGTCAGCAGCAGCAGGGTCAGTCCCCACTGCCCCCAGCCCCTCCCCCTCATAAGCAGCAGCCGTTGGTGACGGCTCTGAACCACAGCTCAACGAGCCGGCGGAACGCCAGCCCGGCCCCACCGGCCCCCCCACCCGCAGAGCTGCCCACCACGCCCGAGTCCGTCCCGCTGCAGGACAGCTGGGTCCTGGGCAGCAATGTGCCGCTGGAAAGCAGGTGAGATATACACATCAGTGCATGCACACAAATCCGCTCACGTACACACTCAAAAGTTTGGAATCACCAGTCAAAAGTGAATTAATGTTTCCAATAACATGTATCACAAATTTGGTTGCAGATAAACGTATAAAATGATTGTAGTCACATTAAGGGTTGCATATACTAGTTATATAGTCAAAGAACAAATCTGAAATACAGCAGGAGGAGAGAACAGAAATCAGTTCTTCTCTTAAAGCCCAAAATACTTTATAAGTATGGAAATACAACACAAAATGAAACTAATTCGACTGCGCTGTGTAAGACTGAGTTGAAATACAGGCTCATAAGCCAGACCAGGTGAGTCTTGAGAACCGTGGACTCTGATAGTTTCTGAGGCTGAAACGTACTGAAATACAGCAAAATACCTCAAACCACAGCATCTGTCAACACAGTCTATATAAACACTAACAAAACTTTGTTGACAGATGTCCGAAACACTTGTGTTATTTTTTGAGTGTGAAAATGACCAGTAGTCAACAAGTTGACCAGTTAAAATGAATAGTAAGCCTTTATAGTAAGAGAGTACATCTATTAACAGTGCTTAAGAGGGTAATAATTGTTACTAAACGTTAGTAAACAACTAATGATTAAATAGAAATAAATAAATAGGATAAATAGAAATTTAAGTACTTTTTAATCATTACTAAATGGTTAAGTAATATCATAATTAATCATTAACTAATGATAATGAGGTAACTAATGAATTAATGATAACTAATTTATTGTGTTAGATTTTATTAAATAGTTTATTAATGTGTTAATTAATGCAACTCAACAGTAAGAACTAAGCACTAATGAGCAATGTATTGACTATATTGTCCAGAATAATGTCAAATAAAGTGTTAATTAATGAGCATAACTAAATCGTTAACCAACTAATTAGGGCCCAGTTTCCTAAAAGATATTTGTGTTGAGATCATCCTAACTGGTAGAGAGAGTGTTCAGTTTAATACTCGCTCTGCCATTTGAGAATCATCTGTATGCTGAGTTAAGACTTCTTGGTAAAGGCTAAGAACTGTGGACAGGCTCCATGGTCTTCATGTAGACACTTGTTTTTTCTGTTCTCTTCAAGAAGTAGATGTTAGCACATTTCTTTACTTCTAACATGTTATTTTCAGTATTATACATTATATGAAATAGAATTATTTTGGAATGTACTACTTGAACATATAAGCATTATTAATAATTATTTAATGTTCTTTGTGACCCTTAAAAGTCTGCACATATCTCTTAAGAACTGTATAAGTGCACATCAGTATTTATAAAAAAAAATGCTGAATGAATTAGATGTATACTTGATACACCTGTTATGTGTATATATACATATATGGCAAAACATTAAGCTTTCAGTGGTCTTAAATACAAATCATTAAACAAACAGATATATGGGATACATTTTACTTTTGATTTCTTTAAAAGAAGAGTCAGTACTTTTCCACTCAGCATTAATGGCAGTTGAAAAACATGGCCACTTCTATAAGATTTAAATCTGGACTGTGACCAGTGCTGATGTGTGTGTATATATATATATATATATATATATATGCTCTTACACATTTATGAAGTTTCCAGGAGGTAGATATCTAAGACTTTATTTAATTAAGAATTTGACATTATCATAGACTTCAGTGAATTGTTCATTAGTGCTGAGTTTCTTACCGTCCCAATTGTTGAGTGACAATTAAGTAATAATTAACACATGAATATACTACTTAATAAGATCTTAAACAATATACTAGTTATTACTACTGTCATAGTTAACGATTAAATGAGACATTACATTGAAGAATGATTATAAACTACTTAATACAATCTAAAATAATGTGAGTCCTCATTTCTATCATTAGTTAATGATTAGTTGCTACATTACTCAACAATTTAGTAATGCTTTCTAACTTCTGTTAATTGTTGTCGTCTTATTGTACAGTGTTACCAAATTGGTAATCAACTAAGTCAAAAAATGCAAATGTAACAATTCTAGTAATCTAAATCTACACAGGTTTCAATTACTTTGTAGGACGTTATGAAGAACGAAGAAATGTTACATGTGTCCAGGATGATGAACAGATGTGAAGATTCCATAATATTTGGGAAAGCTGCATTGAGAGTGACATTTCTGCTCTATTCTATAAGTTATTACTGAATAGTATAACAAAACTATTAATTTGACAAGTGATTCCAAATGTATGAGTAGTATGCATACTTACGTATACACATTCATACAGATGCACATAAAGATGAGTGAAATGGGACTAGGTAACATTTCGGAATAAAGAGCTCCTCTAAGGCTCAGTACTTGTGGTGTGACCAGACTGCAGACTGTGGTGATGAGTTTAAGCTTATTTAATATAGAAAACACTAAGCATGAAAAACCAAAGCCTGTTATTTTCTCTTCTCATCTCAATTCGGAACATCACTCCATGTTCCAGCGATCTTTATAAACTATTGAAATAAATCTGCCAATCACCCACAAGTCCCACGGAGCCTTCAAAACATTCATACAAGACTTGAATATTATGATACTGGTTTATAGCGACCTATAAACAGCTTTTTAAAAACTCATGTACACTCGCCGTCTGCTGTTTGAAACTGTCCACTTTATGATCTCCATCTTGTAGGTCCACTATAAAAAAGGTACAATTACAGACTGTAGACCATCTGTTGCTGTACAGTTTATCAGCTCCCCCTACAGCATTCATCATTGGTCAGTTTCTGCCCACAAGGCCGCTGTTGTGTAGATGTTATTGGAGTGGTTGATCCCTCATCCCTGAGCACATCAGTGACACTGGCATGGTAGTGTGTGTGGTGCTGGTGTGAGTGTATCAGACACAGCGTCATTGCTGGACCCCACACGTCAGTGTCACTGCTACGTTGAGAGTGGACCCCCACCCAAAATATCCATGAATGTGCAGCTTTCCTCTCAGAAACTGACCATGGATGAAGGGCTAGAGGATGGCTAACAGAAAATGTGTGTCCACAGATGAGCTGAAATATCTAACTGTACACCAGCAGGGCAGAGCTACAAGGGAGGGTTTTTTAATAAAGTGGCTAATGACAGTGTATGTTTTCTGTCAGTAAGAGTTTAATTTCATTGTCAAGTAGTTAGTTTCATAGTAGTTACAGAATAATTCATAATAGTTACAGAATAGTAGATACTGAATAATTTTAGTAGCTACTGAGCAAGTCATAGTAGTTGCTAAATACTTTATTGTGGATACTGAATAATTCATAGTAGATACTAAATAATTGTACTAGTTACTGAATAATTTCAAGGGGTTAAATCTTAGAAGTTGGGAGTTATTGCTTATGTTGTTTTAATGTACAGTTTAAATATAATTACACTTTACTTCATTAGTTATACAGTTACATAAAGAATTACACATACATTCAGTTTACATTCTGTCTAAACAGGGTCTAAACAGGTTTGAGTCTGAACATCTGTGTTTTAGTATCAACAGAAGATAAAAATGTCTTTTTTTTGTCCTTTCCTCAGAACAAGACTGTACACACAGCAATAACTTTTCTTCTAATTCATAATAAAATTCATTCATTTCTAGTAAAATTATTATTAATTATTATTATTATTAATATTATTAATTCTTAATAAAATGTTTTCTCTTCTACTTACAGAGACAAATGTGGTATATATTGGAAGTTTAGAATCTTCACTTTCTTTCCTTCGCTTGTTTCATGACCTATGAGTGAGAAATAATTCATGTAAAATTACAACATGCTTTTGTTGTCACTGGTGATAACTGAGACTTCAAAGGGTCAAACATTATCAGTTACATCATCAGTTACATCATCAATCAAAATCAAGATGGTTAGAGGCCTGACTCACAGGTTTCCCAGTGCTCATAACAGACATAAAACACACACACTGGTCTGGTCAGCCCCAGAGACGGGATGCTGAGTGTTTTCCTCCCATAAATCAGTGCAGCGTTGACCCTTTAGGTGACCACTGAGCTGATTCACAGGGGCCACATTGCAAAAAAGGGGGGAAGCTGTGTTTGGGAAGTGTGTGTGTGTGTGTGTGTATGTGTTTTAGTGCCATATTGATGTCTTTGTGTGTGTGACTAGCCTGTTTTACTCTGACACTTCATAATGAACGAGGGATTCCTCCCCTCTTTTCAAAACCCCAATCCATTAACCGCCCCCCCCCCACCCCATCCCACCCGGTCCACCACCATTTAACTGCCTGTGGGACCAGAATGAAATAAAACCTTCCAGAAAAAACTGTACTGAGGTTAGAGAGCCTTTCCCTGTCAGAAATGTGTTAGAGAAAGAGAGACAGAGAGAGAGCACTAAGAAAGAGAGAGAGAGAGAGAGAGACAAAGAAAAGAGAGCAGGAGAAAGAAAAAAGGGGGGGAGAGGGAAAGAAAAGAGACAGAGAAAGAAGAAAGCAAGAGCTAGAGAGGGAGGAGAGAGAGGAAGAAAGAGTAAGAGAGAGAGAAAGAAGAAGGAAAAAGGAGCAAAAAAAGACAGAAGAAAGAAGACATAAGACTGAGTAGAGAGATAGAAAGAAAAGAGAGAGAGACAAGAGTAGAGAAAGAGACAGATAGACAGAGAGAATAAAGGGGGGCAGATGTTAGTTATGCAGACAGGACAGAAAAGAGGCGCTGTGAGAACGACAGCAGTGGAGCAGCACGAACGAACCGAGAATGAAAGGAGAAACATAAAGAATGATAAAAGAGTGAACATGGATGGATGAGCACAAAGTGAGCAGAACAGAGAGGACGAGAAAAGAGGAAACCTTGTGGACTGGGCAACTGTAGAACACTCTCCCTCTCCCCCACAATTTTGTCCTCTTTCTCTCTTCACCTATCCCTTCTCTCTTGCTCTCTCTATGTCACTCGCTTTCTCTCTCTCTCACTTTCTCTCACTCTTTTCATTTTCTCTTGCTCTTTTTCAATTTAATTCAACTCAGAGTAGCCTTACTGGCATGACTGTCTTAAGCA